CCGGTCGAAGCACCTCTGACCATATATTTGCCCTGCGCCAGATTGTTGAGAAATCGTGGGAATACGCCCAACCGGTGTATACTTGTTCTGTTAAGCTAGAAAAGCGTATGCCCGGATTCCACTCAACAGTCTGTAGTCATGCCTTCGGGCAATTGGGATAGATGGGCAGCTGCTGATGGCCATGCAGTCGCTGTGTTCTGGTAGCAGGTGCTGTGTCAGAGTTAATGGCGTTAAGTCGAAACCATTCAACTTTCGCACTGGTCTCCGCTAAGGCTCGTCATGTCCCCTATCCTGTTTAGGTTGCATGGATAGAAGAGTCAAGAGCTGCCAAGGCGATGAGGGTATAGGTGTAGGAGATGTGAAGTCGAGAAGTTTGCTGTTTGCACACCACTTTGTTTTATTAGCATCTTCTGAAACTGATCTTCGGTGCTCCTTAGAAAGGTTCGCGGCCGAGTGCGACGTGACCGGCTTGCGTGTGAATGCATCTGAAACGAAAAGCGTAGTGCTTTCTCGTTCCCCTGCCCATTGCTCTCTTCAGATTAACGGAGAGGCAGTGGAGCAGGTGGGGAAGTTCAAGTACCTCGGAACTGTATTTACTAGTGATGGAAAATTGGAGGAAGAGATCGACAGGCGAATTAGAGTAGCCGGTGGCGTTCTGCGTTAGTTTGCCCGACCGATAGTGACTAAAGCAGAGCTCAGTCTGAAATCTAAGCTCTCAATATTCAAGTCGATCTTTATCCCCATAGTTACCTGCTGTCATGAATCATGGACCATCACTGAAAGACTTTGAGCCCGGTTATAACTGCTGAAATGGGCTTTCTTAGACGAGTCGCTGGCCTTACGCGTCTCGACATGGTCCGGAATAGTGACATTCGGAAGAGCCTTGGAATACAGCCTTTGCTTCTCCAAATTGAGAAGTCACAGCTGCGATGGCTTGGGCATGTGTTGGGAATGCCTCCAGAAAGGAAGGCTAAACAACTGTTCCTTGCAAATCTGACCGGCAGAAGGCCCAGGGGACGGCGAAGATTAACCTGATGCAAACATATGGGAATAGTCTGTTCCAGACTCCATTTGTTTTTTGCGGAAGCTCAGACTCTGGCACAAGATCGGGAACGTTGGAAGCTCTGTCTGACGTGTCTTCCTCCGCGACCCGCGAGGAAAAGCGGCGATGGAAGATGAAGATGAAGGAGATGAAGATAGAAGACTTTAATGCGCATGTCGAAGCAGACACTTTGAAGTGGAAATGCAAGTCTGAAAAGAACGGTCTAGGCGACCTCAATAATAACAGAATTAAGTTCTTGCTGATTTTTTGCTTTTTATGCAAATAACGGACTGTCCGTTATGAACACCTTCATGGAATATCGAAGCCTGCATCAGTAGACGTGGCACAGTAATGTCTGTGGACGGAAGTCGATGTCGGTATGATTATAATATCTTCTGAATTCCGAAAATCCGCAAAGGACTTCCAGGTTAAGAGTAACGCAGTCCTGTCAACACATCATAAATTTGCTTTTCGCACCCTCACTTTGAGCGATCGAGAATCATGCGAAGACCAGGGGGCAGAAGCAGCCAGAAAATAAAATGGAAAATATTATCTTCTGTGGCTTGTAAGCCAGAACTTTCACACGACATTCTGAGAAGGTTGGAATAGATCCCAATGATGACTGCTGAGGCGGAAACCGACTGAAGTCTCTTTAGGAATAGCTTATTCCGGGCTGCCGCTGAACATTGCAGATTAGAGCAGATTGGCCTGTCGCCTAGAAGTCAAAAGCGAATTCCTGTTAGACACGGGACGTTCAAGTGGCTGCAACGAAGTAAGGCTGCATTCAACAGATGGCTTGAAAGCGAATAGCTATCAATTCGAATGCATGACAAATATGCTGTCACGGCAACAGCAAAAGCTGATTCCACGGGAAGTGCCTGGTGAGGACCCGAAATTGAAGCTTCATACAAATGAAGGCATTCTAGCAAACAATCTTCCATCTCTGGGATAGAAACACGGGTAGCCTAATAGTGCTGAAGGACAAGCCTGAATGTCTCCTTACCAATGATGAGGACTTGCCTCTGCGATGAAGTGAGTACTTTGACGAACTGTTTAACCTCGCGCTCTCTTCAGCAGCAGCAGATAACAGATATGTGTCTTTCACTAGATAAAGTAACATGAGGTTTAAATCGTTTTAAGATGGCAAAATTGCTGTAATCGATGACATGACAACTGCCACGAAATACTTATAGCTTAAGGCGATCAAGAACAGTTGTTGCAAGCTGCAATAACTACGGAGAGGATACAAATGGACTGGAGAACGGGGACTGCAGTACCACTGTTCAAAAAGGGACGCAATAGGGAGTACTCCAATTATCGAGGCATTTCCTCACCGAACCTTCAGAGTAACGTCTATGCAAAGGTATAGAAAGGATGACCCACAGAATAACTGATTCTAAGATACAAGAAATGCAATGTGGTGTCACTTCAGGTCGATTCACAGCTGACCAGCTCTTCGCCTTCTGACAGATGGTTGAAAAATCGTGGGAATTCGCTCATCCGCCTGAAACGTGCTTTGTGGGCCTGGAGAAAGCATGTGGAATAATCGCGCGCAACAGTTTGCGATCATGCCTGCGAACATACGGATTGATGGCCATTCGATAACGGCCATCCAATCTCTGTATTCTGATAGCAGGCGCTGAGTCAGAGTAAGTGGCGTTAAGTCGAAACCTTTCAACGTTGGTACTGGTCTCAGCCAAGGCTATGCCCTCTCGCCTCTTTTGATTGTGTTGTCATGGACAGAACAGTCAGGAGCATCCAAGACGACGAGTGTGTCAGCGTAGAAAATGTGGATCAAAGAAATTTGCTGTTTGAATCTGACCCTGATTTGTTGGCATGTTTTGAAGTTGATCTAGAGGATTCTTTGGAAAGGTTGGCAGCCGAGTGGCCGACACGCTTGTAAACGCATCTTAAACGAAAACCTAG